GGACAGAACCGGGTTGTGGGGGACAGCACTCGCTAACCACTCTTGCTTCTCTGCAAGTTACTGGGTTTTAATCCTAGGCAGAACAGGGTTTTTTTGAGGTTTACTTCAGGTGCTCTGTTTTTCCCTACCACTAAAAAGATCATTAATTTACATGTTTACCGTACTGAAGCCGTTTAATAGGTTTATAAACAAGTTCATGGACTTCCTTTCCCTCCCTGTCTCCTCATATTTGCCCTTTATCATTAGTGGCAGTTTTATTCTGTAAAATGGATGAAGCCAAATGTTTCCTTTAAGTAAGTACATTGAGGGTGAACCATGTACTGCTTGTGTACAGTATATGGATGTGTTTTCTCTCATCTTCAGCTTGTCTGCATCCATCATCTGTGCTCTGATCTCTCGAGCAGGCGCATCACTCTCCCACACAACTCATGTGTTTGGAACCACTGGTTTTATTTTCCTTTAAATCAAACACAATTGTATATTTCACTCAGGGAATTTAAGAAAAACAAAAAGAGAGCCAAGCCACATAAAATCAGTAACATCTGCATTATTGTTGAACAAGGCCAGAATCAAAAATATAGTGTCCAAAGTAGACTTGAAGATTCTCCCCTGCATTTGTCTTCTGTAGGTTAGACTACTGTAACGGCCTGCTCGCTGGTCTCACCAAATGAGCTGTAAAACTATTGGAGTTTATTCAAAACACTGCAGCTCCCGCCCTTGACTAGAACTAATAATAATAATAAAGCATAAGTTTCATACAGAGCTTTTTTGGACACTCAAAGACGCTCCACATGTCATTATTCATTCACTCCATACATACAACTACTACTGTAACCACAACTGCCCTGGGGCACACTGACAGGAAGTACAATCACATCAGTTCTGGTCTCATGTCTCTGCTCTGGCTTCATGTGGCACAGAGAATAGACTTTAAAGTGGCTCTGCTTGTGTAAAAGTCTATCCATGGCCTCGCACCAAAATACATCTGTGATATGTTAGTGCCATGAGAACCAACTCAGACTCCGAGGGGCACATGGACTGGCCTCCTGCTGGTGCCCAGATTTAGGACTAAATTGTGTAACACGTGTAACAGGGTATTTCAATTTGGAGAGACGTGAAACAAGAAGCTTTGAGTATTTTATTGGGAGGAGGTTTGGCGCCCTAGGCCCCGGTGCGGCCTTCGGATCGGAGGGCCTCCATGCGAAGGAGCGAGCCAATCCCCCGGGACCTAGGCACTGGTGGCGGCATTTGCAGCGGGAAGCAGATTGAAGGCAGATGAAGGCAGGGTGAAGAGGAGGAGGAGGGGAGGCGGTGGTTGCAGGCTTCGAGAAGGCCGAGAATGGGAGTTCCTCCGCTTTTAAGCAGCTTGCCTGGCTGGACCGGTGATTGGAAGGGGGCGTTTGCCGTGCGATAGGCTGGGGATGAGAACCGGCCTGGAGGGGTTACCTTTGGCTGACGTCTACCAAATTGAACTTTCGCTGGCTGCATTTCAATTTGGAGAGACGTGAAACAAGAAGCTTTGAGTATTTTATTGGGAGGAGGTTTGGCGCCCTAGGCCCCGGTGCGGCCTTCGGATCGGAGGGCCTCCATGCGAAGGAGCGAGCCAATCCCCAAAAAGGTTGTGAGTTGATGGAGTTTTGCAGCCTGGTTTGGAGGGGACAGACGTCGAGACTACTCTATGCTGTGACCGCTATCGCTATATACTGTGACCGCTATCGCTATATACTGTGACCGCTATCGCTATATACTGTGACCGCTATCGCTATATACTGCGACCGCTATCGCTATATACTGTGACCGCTATCGCTATATACTGTGACCGCTATCGCTATATACTGTGACCGCTATCGCTATATGCTGACGAGTCGCGACCATCGCGCGCTAACCATTTTTTGCTATATACTGTGACCGCTAACCATTTTTTGCTATATACTGTGACCGCTAACCATTTTTTGCTATATACTGTGACCGCTATCGCTATATACTGTGACCGCTATTGCTATATACTGTGACCGCTAACCATTTTTTGCTATATACTGTGACCGCTATCACTATATGCTGTGACCGCTATCTATTGTGACCAAACTTGCGGATCCTCAGCTGCTGCCGCCACCAGGAAGTTTAGCGAGCATTTTAAGAAGATGCCAAAAGCCGCTGGGCTGCCAGGATGGAAGAGGTGTCAGGCCTGATGTATGAGGAGAGGGCCGATGATGACCAGCGGCCCAGCTGCTGGAGGGCGGAATAGGGGAGCCCAAGGGACGCGGCGCGCGTGGCGGCGCCTATCCGAAAGGAGTGGGCTGTGTAGAGATGGGGAGACATGTTACAAAGCAGCAGTACGGACCTGAGTTGGGCTCTGAACCAGTTGGAGGACATAGGGAGGTTATCGGGGTTGAGAAATAACGGTCCGTTGAGGTCTCCTTTCCGAGAGCGGAGGCGAGTGTAATGCATCATGGGTTATCTTTGCGCGCTGGGAACGTGAGCGTTTGCATCACGTTCCGTCAGACGCTGCGGCAGCGAAGAGTGTTTGAGAAGTGCGTGCCGCCACCAGAATCTTATTGCTTCACTTACTTTGCTTCGTATTGCTTTGCTGGGAGCTTACGAGGAAGCCAGTAGACGTTGTGCAGCCAGGATAGCGGACGCGTCTGGCCTGATGTAGGCGGAGAAAGCCGAAGAGGACCAGCGCCCCAGCTGTTGCAGAGAGGTGTGCTCGTGTAGGGCAGGGGAGATGCTCCGGTGGAAAGTAGCGGCCACGGCCCGGCAACCCAATGGTCCTGGAAAAAACCCCCCAAAACCCACGGAAGGGGCACGTCCGTGTAGAAGCGGAGACCTGTAGGGGCAGAGACGTATCGGAGAGGGACATGAAGTTGCAGGCGCCCTCACGCTTAGAATCTTGGGTTGGAGAGTAGATAATCAGGATAGTAGGATGGTCGGGAAAAGCCGTGTCTCGGACCGCGTGAAGGTTGAGCGAGCAGTAGTGGACGCTTATGCAGAGAAGCCATGGAAGGCGAGCAGGAAGATGCTGCGAGGAGGGCAGACATGTACTTGGAAGATGAGCCGGAGTTCAGCGCCGCTGCAGGATGGGCAGCATGATGGGGAGCCTGCGATCAGAAGAGCGAAGAATACAGGTATGGATGCCTTTGATTAGGAGTCCGATTGACGGCTCAGCGCAGCTACTCGGCCAGCTTCATCTGATAGAATCGGAAGATTAAGTAAAGAGATGAAGCATGACCGCCGAAGCGACCCTGGGAGCATAGGTGCGAGTCCAGCGCAGCGCGGCATACTCAGCCGGGCTGCGTCCATTAGAGCAGGATAAGCTTCTGAGAGAGTGGGTTGCAGCAGTAGCAGTAGCAGTAGCAGCAGCGGCAGCAGCAGTAACCTCAGATAATAACGGCAACGACCTGTATCAGCCGCGGCAGCAGCAGCTGCAGCATCCGTAGATAATAACGGCAAAAACCCTGTATCAAAGCCACGGCATTAGAATATGTTGTAGCTGTTTAGTGTTTCGTAAGAGAAGCGAAATGAAGAGAGATGACGAAGTACATGAAGCAGCAGCAGCACGGCAGTAGTGGCAGTATGAAGCAGCAGCAGTAGCAGCAGTAGCGGTAGCAGTAAGAAGCAGCAGAAGCAGGCAGCAGGAACAGGCAGCAGCCGGAGCGGCAGCAGGAACAGTGGCGGCGGGATCAGGCATCAGTAGGAACGGCAGCGGGGACCGGCAGCAGCGGCGGTCAGAGAACCATGCCCATGGTTGTTTAACAGCCTGAAGAAAAGAAAAAGAAAAACCGACCCGAATCCGAAACATCCCATGTGAATAACAGACGTCCCCTGGAGCCATCTGCTGCTTTGGTTATGGCAGATACGCATGAACGATCACTGATCCATGCGTTTAAATGCATGGTTTTACTGCAAGTGGCAGAACATGAATCTGAATTAATGCACATATCTCCTCGTATATCCCTCAGACGATAGAGATTGATGCCATTTAATATGCATTGCCCCTCAGTTAGCTCAAACACATGTGAAACGGAGCCTGCAGACCAAGCACGGGGCGAAAAACTGGCGCCTGCAGTCAAGTGCGCGGGGCAAAAACCAATCGCCTGCAGCCCAAACTCCGGGATTAATCTGTCCGCGTTCAGCACACTCACTGTACTCACATGCCAGGAGACTTGGGAAAAGCAACGGGACAACGCGGCACCGCCAAACGGAGGCAGGGACACGCACGGCACCGCCAGACCTTCTGCGTGCGGCAGCAGACCACGAGGAACGAGCAGCACAGCACCCGCGGAGGGCCCCGCGGAGCAGCCCGCAGAAGAGCCCGCAGAGGAGAGCAGTGGAGACACGCGAACCACAGCAGGTGCAGGGACGTGGAGGAGGAGCAGACCAGTGCAGGGACGTGGAGGAGGAGCAGACCAGTGCAGGGACGTGGAGGAGGAGCAGACCAGTGCAGGGACGTGGAGGAGGAGCAGACCAGTGCAGGGACGTGGAGGAGGAGCAGACCAGTGCAGGGACGCGAAGGAGGAGCAGACCAGTGCAGGGACGTGGAGGAGGAGCAGACCAGTGCAGGGACGTGGAGGAGGAGCAGACCAGTGCAGGGACGCGGAGGCGGAGCAGACCACAAGCAGCCAGACGGAGGACGCCAGGGACGCGCCGAGTAGCGTGAGTAGACGAACACGATTCCTCCTAGACGATTCTTTGCAGGCTTCGAGAAGCCTGCAGGCTTCGAGAAGGCCGAGAATGGGAGTTCCTCCGCTTTTAAGCAGCTTGCCTGGCTGGACCGGTGATTGGAAGGGGGCGTTTGCCGTGCGATAGGCTGGGGATGAGAACCGGCCTGGAGGGGTTACCTTTGGCTGACGTCTACCAAATTGAACTTTCGCTGGCTGCATAAGTATCCCCACACTGCCACTTTGAGTTCGGGTGTGGTTTTCTTTGTTTGGTGTGGGCCAGTGGCTATGTTTTTAATTAGTTGGCAGCTGTGGTGGGCGGTACTTCATCCTTTTAAAAGCTCAGTGCACCTTCTCCTCTCCCTTACACTCTCCCTCTGCTTGGTGTGCAACAGAGTTCGGGTCCTCCAGGCGGTCTGAAGGCCAGCGGTTCTCCGAAGCATCCGGGGCCTGCTGGGGACAATGCCACACCAGCAAGGCCAACCCCAACCGCTTTAGTGCCTGGACCCTGAAATCCTGTTTTTAAAGCTCACACCCTTAAGTGTTAGACTCCAGCCTCTCCCCTCTGATTTTAACCCCTGGTTTTAATCATACTTTTTAAAGACTCTTTTTGTAATAAATCATTCTAAACTTTTAACTGTCGTAGTCTCCTTGTACCCTGGTGATCAGAATCCGAAGGTGGGAGTGTTACACTAGTGTAATTTTGTTTCGATACAAAATTCTGAGTTTCCTTATGTACGAATTGTCCTATACAAATGTTGCCTTGCTTTGTTGGAATGCACACCTGCAGCTACACAAAGTTGAATTCCCCGGGTCTAATGATGAACTCTGACGAACATAATTATGGCATTGATTTTTATTCCATTATTTCTTAATAAACTTTGATTTCTGGTGTCTGGAAAATTGTATGTAAGTAGTACAAGTAGGCCTGGGCGATATAAACGGTATAAGCGGTATGCGATATAAATTTGGCCCACGGTAGAGATTTTTGTTATACCGGCATATTGCGATAGGTCATTATGTCATCAAATTGCTGTACAGCTGTGACAACTGCTCATATCAAGTGGGGAACCTATGGAGTCTCTACTTTGCTAAAAAATATTTCTCTAACGGGTGTCAATTTTTGGGAAAATCGCCTAATAAGGAACGGGAGAAATGCGCTAGCATTAGCATTAGCTTGCGTAGCATCTGCGGCCACCGAGATAGCTGACAGTCCACAGTCTTTACTTCGCGTACTTTCATAGATACAATGCAGTATTTTTGTGGGGTATACGGTTGTAGTAGCCGAGGCAACAGAAAGAAAGAACTGTTAAATACATTTTCTGATTGCAGTCCCCGCTGTTAGCTCACTCACTGCTGTTAGCTTAACGCTATTAGCTTCATGCTATGGAGCTAAGCTAATAGCGGAGCTTCCCCCGGAGCTCTGTACTTTTGGTTATTTACAGCTCAACAAATCACCGAAATGACAATAAAGGGTCAGATTTCTCGCTTCACATGCTGTCTAAAGTAACATTTGTGCCATATTTATTGTGTTATTGATCAAAACTATCATCTCAGACGTGTTTCTGTTGATCCCTGTTCACTATAACAGCCTTAATCTTTCTCATTGTTTAAAAAATTGACTCATTCAAACACTACAAAGCGTACGCTGCATTAAAATATTTTTCACTCATATAATAAGAGTGATACTAAGGCGCGATAAGCTCCTATGTCTGCGTTTTCCAGCATTGCCCATTCTATTTAATAGGAGAAAAATACTTCCTGTCCTACGGACACATGTCCCACCCCCTTTTGGTTACGTGGTTGAAACCCAGCAATGCTGCTTGGAAGTTAAAGTTTTATAATGTTCTGTATAGTTGCAGTTTTGCACAATACATTTAAATAAGTAACAATCTTGACTATTGCATTCAAGAACCTGCTAGACCTATATTGAAATTCACACACCAAATTATACCGCAATATATACCGTCTACCGTCTGTGTCCCAAATTATACCGCAATATGAATTTTAGGCCATATCGCCCACCCCTAAGTACAAGTATGTGCGTGTGAATTCGCTTTTCACACTTGGCAAATAATGTTGAACTTTGTGAAGAAGCCTCCGCTGAATTGATCTGCTTTTGGGATTCTCATTGTTCTTTTAGCCGCCTCCGGAACAGGCTTTGTCAGTTGTCTTTATAATCATAAAAGCATTGGCCCAGGCTCTTAAAACTGGGGTAACTAACATTTTCATCAAGATTTAAGCAAAACCATGTTTCCAGAAAGAGCATAGGAACATTGTTACAAAACTACCCAGTGTTTCACATTCAAATGCATACAGTCATCTTTGTTCCTTTGGCTGTCAGACTGTACAACAGACCTCTTCTGCTGCTGGACATCTGACTTTCTGCTTTCGCGGGATCATTAAAGAATCTATCGATCTCTATTACAGGGATTACAAGTTTGGACTCCTGTGACCCATGACCCAGGTTTTTCTAGATCTAATTGTACCAAATTTTGATCTATTTTAAACCCATCACTAGTACAGCGGAGATATCAAGCTCGTACAAATATGGTAAGTGCTATATAATCCCAAAGTAGTTTAATATTAACCCCAACATATGAATCCTTCCAAATCACAGCACAAAAGCACAAAAAGCTGCTAAATTATGAATGAGTAGAAGGCAGTTTCACACATCGACAAACTTCTTTCACTGTGTAAATGACAGTGGAAAACAATTAACATGAAAACAGTTCAAATCTGTCAAAAGAATGTTTATATGTATAGTATACTAATATAAATAATCAAAGTAAAAGAGTGAATGTGGTGAAGTCAGTTAGTGAACACTAAAAACAGTTCTGCTGTTTTAACCTGAAGTGGAACAATGTCAGAGTGGAAGCCTGTCTCACATTTTCAACAAGACTGTTTCAGATTTTAGCTGCATAAATCTAAAACGGTGGCTCTCCATGTTTAGTCCTTACTCTGGATAACAGCAGGAGTCCTGAGGTAAAGTCAATACCATGAGATCTGAGGAAATCTGGAGTCTGTTGTGCCTCTGCTTGGTTGGAATGAAAACCTGCAGCCACACCAGCCCTTTGAGTCCTCAAAGAACGAAGTTGAATACCTGTGATTGAGGCATTCTACATAATACGTGATCTTGAACTTTAGCTGTCATATGGAGTATTGACATAGTATGAACATAAAAGAGTCCTCAGTCCTCAATCTGTAGTCTGCTGGTCTGTTTTTTTTTTTTGTCTTACCAGTAGAGGCGGACCCTCACTGCTGGCCTAAACATGATTACACACACACATATATATTTAAAATATATTAAAATATATACAATATATAATTTTTCTTATTATACATTTTTTTCTATGTTTATTGTTTTTTTGACATTTGAGTGGTCTGGCGTCTAGCAGAGTTTTTATCCAATCATTACTCAGGATCATGTGTTGCTATGGCCCAGAATCTGCCTCTAAGCCTTCAGACTCGACATTGCTGGCCCGTGGTAGCTTAAAAGGGGGCTATCCTTATTAAAAACTTTTTTTTTTCTGATAAAACACATTAAAAACATGCATTTCCCACCTTTGCAATGTGTTTTTGTGTTATGGATAAGTAATAAATCAGTAAAATAACTTTTTAATATCAAAGCCTCTGATTGGCCAGAAAAATTATGACGTACTTGTAGGGGTCGCAGCTCCCGCCTCACTGGTTATGGCATTGCTCCTGCTGCAGCTTTGACACAAATAATGTTCATGTGGTAACAGAAACAATCAAAAATGCCAATATGTATAGCACGACAACTTGTTTTAGTTTTTCAACACTCTACGGCTGAAGGAGGTGAATATATCGTTCTGGTAGATAGAACGCCGTTCAAGAAAAACAGAGACAGGGGTACCAGAGGAGCCAGGACTTTGGCCCGACTAAAGGATACACACCTGCGGCTAAGCTGAGGCTAAAAGCAGGTTAGCTTATTTGTCAATAATCTAACCTGTGGAGCTAGGCTAATGCAGAAGACACAGAGCCGTGTCGTGCCTCACCACTGGTAAGAAAACAGAACATTGAAGCTCACGCGCAATACTTATATTGTAGTTGGACTTTACACATTTATGCTCAAAACTGGGTCATGAACGCCCGTGTTGCACTCTGTCATGTTCTCAGATACTGTCAGAAAAGAAAGTTACACATTGTGTACAAGCGCGTAAGGTGTGTGTGTGCTAACTACAGCGATGTGCCTCCAGTCATTTTAACACAGGAGGCACACTGGGGGGGGGTCAGGGTCTAAGGACAGTGATGATTCTGGACATCACTGACAGTGTCATCAGTGAATTGACAGCTTTGTAAAGTCCTCCTTTGTCGCCCTAAATCACAATTGCTATTTTATTGATTTGGGGCGATACTTAAAGAAATTGAATTGAATTGAAAACATCTCTGCACTGTACAAAGCCATATAGTATTCATCCTTAGACTTGGACATGTGTCTAAATGGCGTTTAACCTCGCTTAGACTGCGTAATCGCAGCTTGTCTCACAAAGAGCTGGGTGCGGGCCACAGATGACAGCCAGCGCCTCCCACTTCAAACCCATCCAGCTATATTTACTGTTCAAGGAAATGGTGTATGTTTATTTTTAAAACAAGTATTTATTATTCTGTTTTATCATCCCCGCTCTGGAAAAACATGTCAGTTACAATCTGGCGCATACTCCCGTGTCCTCCTTGGAGATTTTTTATTTAAAAACAAAAAACTAAAAGCCTTGTTTAAAAAAGCGGCTGGAGATCCACTTTAGACCCTGGCAGATTTCTCCCCCAGGCCCTTTGTTTAAGAGAATACAAATCACTTCAATTATTCAAACCCCCAAAGGTATCACGGCGAATACATCTACGAGTGAGGAATAAAGCTGCCTGTAAACAAAGCCGAGTGCATTAATTACAGCTGAGAAACGCAAAGGCTGCAGAAGAAAGGCAGAGGCGCGCGTGACGGAGCCGTGCGCTAACAAGCCCACACAGGTAAACAAAAGAGCGTCCCTTGATGACTGCGGTGGCGTTTGTGGCGCTCTTTTGTCTCTCTTCACGCCACACAGCAGGGCTTTGTAGAGGAAGATGCTTTCGATTGTCATGGCGCCACAGCGGAGACAGCGAAGCAACAAGGAAGGAGCTGTGGCCTAGTTTGCTCTTGTTTGTACGCGTTTGCTTTCAATGTCCGCTGTGCGCACAAGAGAACCCCTGCTGTGTGTCATATCTGTTTTTGTGAAATGACTAATGATAAATGTGATACTTGAATAAATAGTATTAGTTGATAGGAGGAAACCAGTTGGTTTCCTCCTATCAACAGCTTCATTAACGCTATTCATTAAAGCCCTGTTTCCACAACCCCTACTTGGCCCTACTCTACTCTGATCTACACTACTCTACTCTGCTCTAATCTACCCTACCCCAATTGGGAGTATTTCCACTAATTCTATTTTTTTATTTATCAGGTAACTTTTTTGTCACTCTTAGTACCATTTATATTTTTCTTGCCCAATGTCAAAAGTTACTTGCCCAAATATTTCTCAATACAATGAGTTAACAAGAGAGTGGCAATAAAGTGGCACTGACTATGTGGAAAAAAAAATCCACTCTCAGCCCAAAAAGTCAAATAATTATTCGCCTAAGTATGCAAAATAAAAAAACAAGACGTCTGTCGTGGTGTTTTCTGTTTGATTTGTTCACAACATTTTACTTTAGTGTAGAACCAACATGCATTTTTAATGCAAGGGGAGATCTAGGTACCTGAGCTTTAATTTTGTGAGTTTTGGTTGCGCATAGGTAGGAGACACGGGGAGACCTGCACTCGCAACAAGCTGAGGATGGTTCTGTCCGCGTGTCTGTGCTCCGTGCTCGGTACCACGTTATGGCTGTTGCTAAAGCTGCTGTCATTACAACGCGGCCGCAGCTGCTCCCGGGGTCAGAACAGAGGATGTAAATCCCGTTCGAGTACGAACAGCAAACAGCAGAAAGTTCCCACGGTCACACATTTCACAGAAATTATATTGTCAGCGGAAAACAGTCGGGAATTGCAGATGCGTGAAATTTTTTGAAGAGAATTGGTCAAAAAAAGATAATCTGACCTGTCCGCTCCCGGCTCCAGAAGAAGAAATGCGGGAATATGTTCCCGGCCTGAATGGATCAAAGTAATACATCACTTGCCCGATTGGGCAACTTGCTAAAACAGCGCACTTGCCCGTCTCAAATCTTAAATGCATCCGGATATAATGTGCTGTGGAGCACCCACGTAATACTCTGTCATACCAGTAGATGGCAGCAGACAGGTAATTACTTTGAGACGTAAGAATTGGATGCCACCACAGGATGTAACAGGTAGCGGAGACAGAACATGGAACGCATTGTGGCGAGTGAGAAGTGAAAGTCATGGAGATGTTTTTGAAAATAAATTATACCATTTCCGAGCTGGACCCTGGACTAAAGGTTTTGTAAGCAGAGTGAAGGAGAGAAACCCAGCTGTGATTGTTACGCACTGTTTTCTGTTTTACTCAGTAGCAAGACTTGACCTTGGTCCTGCGTTGGATGATGATAAACTTCACGACCATGAAAAGCCGCATATTTGCGCCTTTGTGTGAGTCAATGGGAGCGGAGTGAGTAGAAATATAAAAATACAAAATAATACTATTTCATTGTGATGATGTATATTTCTCACACTTTGTATTGTGAAAATAGGCGTCAGAGTATATATTTTTACATTTTCTCCTGGTGGTGTGCCGCAAGATTTTTTCATTGAAAAAAAGTGTGCCTTGACTCAAAAAAGTTGAAAAATACTGGAGTAGAGTATTGGGGTTTGTTGAAACTGCATTCAAGCGTCAGCATTCTAAACGCTAATTACAGTTCTAATTACAATTGGCAGTTGAGCATTGGTCTTCAGATGAAACAGTCATGAGTTCGATCCCCGCACGAGACATATCACTGATGTCTGCTGTCATTGAGTCCCTGAGCAAGACAATCCCACACACCACTGGCAGGAGGACTAGTGAGAGGCTGGTGCTATGAAAATAAGATAAATGAACTTGGGTAAATGTTGGTGTTGCAGAGCACCTACAGGATAATGGAAAGAGCACACAACATGATAATAATAATAATAATAATGCATCAGTTTTATATAGCACTTTTTTGGACACTCAAAGATGCTTCACATGTCATTATTCATTCACTCCATACACAGTGGTGATAAACTACTACTGTAGCCACAGCTGCCCTGGGACACACTGACAGAGATAAGTAGCTTTTAATGCTTCATAATAAGAGCAAAAAGTATGTATCATTAAGGTCAATATGATTATGCAGAAGCACTGATTTTTACCCGGAAATGGATTAATGAAGGGGATGAAAATGAATGAAAGTGCCATTGTTTGTCGGAAAAGACAAAAAAAATGTCTTCTCTACAACCCAGCAGCTCAAACAGGCAGATGATTGCTATGTATAGCCACGACCATGTTCTTGTCTCAAAAGACATGTTATAAACCATACATGAGCAATAACAGTTATCAGTCCACCACAGACGTGCTGCTGCTCCGTTACAGAGAAGACATGAGCATTTTCCCATAGAGAGCACAAATTCTAGTGTTTGTGTGAGAATTGGGCTTTCACCACCCGGAAAATCTGCAGCCTTCAATAACAGCGGCTGTGCTCCGAGAGGCAGGAAATAGGCAGCTTTGGATATTGATGTTTGTGTTTAGGCCCCCGCTGCCTCACTCCTCCACCTTCAAACTGCTCAAAACTACTTGCATCACGGCAAATTCAATCCCCTGAATGTACATAGCTGGAAAATGTTTGCATTATTTGTACTATTATACGTTTGGCCATTTGAATGAGGGGTTTGGTAAGTTAATATAATGTTGTGGAATATGGATTCAGCTGTAATTTTTGAGCAATTCTGTGTTTGTGAAATGATGGATTTTCGGAGGGAAGCGATTTGGAAAACAGGACAGTTTAAAGAATAAATATTACTATGCCTTTTCAAATGTATGCTGTTCCTTTATCTTTTGGAACAAAAGTTTGTCAACTCAGGGCTACCACCAACATCTACGGGTGACACTGGGATTTACAATCTACAATGATAACAAGTGGCGAGCTAGACTGGACTCTGCAATTGTTACTCAGGATAACTTTAAAGAACTTCTCACCCCCGCTCCTCGAGGCTTACGTCACTCACATTTTCTTTTCAAATTTCCCTCCAAATGGGCGTAGCCTGGAGGACTAATGGTGCATTCAGTCCGCAAACGCTCAAACGCTGAAGCCCTGCTCACCGTGCATTCTCTAGTTTTCAGACGCAGAGGTCTTCACACCAGAACGTCCTGGCCAGCTCCGGAAGTGCTGATGCTAACAAAGTTTAGCTAGCAGCTTCCTGTGTACAGATTTTCTCCAAGATGCAGCTTTGCAGCGTGTCTTTGCTCAGAGACCTTCCGCGGGCTTTATATAACTTATTATTAAACGGTATTTCCGCAATCGGCGAACACACTCGAAGCAGTTGCATAAGGTCACGGGAGCATGACAACGCATATTTTCACAAGCACAGAGTCCCCCATTGTCAACCCTGGTTGGAGTTCTGGTGAAGCCTGGTGTGGGTCCTGTTTTGGCTGTTTACGAGTATTTGCAGTCTGCTCGCTCAGTCCGCTAATGTCCCCGTGACCACTTTGCGGCTCTCTGATTGGTCGCCGCACAAACGTCCCAAGGAAAGGATGAGCAGAATCCATCTTCTGTGGGCGTCCATTTTCCGCTCCTGCTCCTCCCCTTTGACTTTCCCGCCAAGTCTGTGCGTCTCTACTGAGCGGTCCGTGCGTGTGTGCCGAGAGGTCCGTGCGTTTTGACGCTCGAATGCGTGTCACCATTGACTTTGCATTGAAAGCCGACGCAACGCATGATCCGGTCTGAACCATAGACTGTATATATTAACGGACAGGGTCGCGCCTATCTCCGCCGTTCTAACTAATGGGCCAAAAAATGTGCTCTACTGGAGCTATCCAAAATGGCCGTGAGTGGTCCCGCCCACAAGAACATTGTGAAAACACGCATCTGCGCATGTGTCAGCTGGCGCAAGCTCCATTAATTTGAACAAGATACTTCAAATATTCACAGCGAATAAACTACAGTGGTCCAAAAAAATTCACCCCCCTCAGCATTGACACACATGTGGAATGGAGCTTTGTGCCAAGAGCCAACTTTTGGACCATCCTGTAAAGACGTTTTCCAGAGGTCTGCCAATGCTAGCCAATAGGTCTGCCAATGTAAGCATTGGCTAATTCTTCTTCTGGGTCCACCCCCATCGGCCCGGGGTGGTATTGCAAGCATGTCAGCACACGTCATTTTGGCCACTTTTGAGCCCCCACTGATCTGAACGCTGCATAAAGAGGACAGGCAGGGTCAATGTTGGGCGGGTCTTGGTTGTGATTGACACTTGACATCAGCATTGCCGTGTCTAAGATGGACTGTGATCACAGTCAGTGTTGCCAACTTAGCGTCTTTGTCGCTAGATTTAGCGACTTTTCAGACCCTATAGCGACTTTTTTTTTAAAAAGCGACTAGCGACAGATCTAGACAAAGAATTAAAATCATTAAATGTTGTTAATGTGGAAATTATTTTTGTACATTTGTAGTTCTAAACATATTTAGGGTGTTTTTTACTCACTTTTGTCTCTCCCACGACGTTATTCCTCTCTCCTACAGCGTCCGTTACAGTTATTTGCAAATGGCCAATTATGCAAATTAGGCGATGACGTTTTATCGCCTAATTTAGCGACTTCTAGCGACTTTTGGGGCAGCCAATAGCTACTTTCCTTACTGAGGAGTTGGCAACACTGATCACAGTGACAAGAGGAGGCAGACAGCGGCCGTCAGCCCTATCAATTTGAGCTCGTGAGCTAGCTGTGCTAGAGCTAGCGGACACCACCTGGGGATCCAATGCTGCAGAGGCAGCAGACCGCCACAGAATGGGACCAGTTTCTGAATGATATAGATTAGAGAATTTAACAATTGTAAACCGCTTTGAGACTCAGATCTGCAGTGAAAAGGCGGTATATAAATAAAAAAACTTAGAGTAGAATATAGTGGACTATACTACAATATT